GCCATAATTCTCCTAAGACCTAAACAACTATAAATCTGTATGGCTTAGGACTGACAAAGTTCAGAGATGTCTGGAAGTACCGTACATAGGTCAATATAAAATAGTTAACCGCAATATGTACTTTACTGTTACGACTGCAGATGTGAATATCACTGCTTCCACAGACAGATTGATACCAGCAGTTGTCTCGAAAACGGTGAAAATACCTAATATCGATAAAGCAATACCATCACATCACGAAAAGATACCTCACCAGATATCAACAGAACTATGGAGTCAAGATAGCAAAACACAACGAGAATTAAGTCTGGCAGATCAGTTACTTTGAAAAGAGAATACATACCACTACTATTAATGTACTAAAGGACTCCGTCAAATTGGGGAAGGGAAGTGTTGTAGTCGGTGTGAAATAACAATAACTCCCTTCACCCACTCCCTTCAAATTCAGAGGATGAGGAAGAAGGACAAAAATTCGCCTGCCTATGTGAAATTTCCTTTGGACCAATGAAATTGCTCTCACAGTAATGGACCGGTGAGCTGAAAAGAAGGAATTCTCGATCTTATGTGAAATTGTTTTGGACCAGTGAAAATCTTGCCTTCACAGAAATTAACCGAGAAGAAGAAAAAAAGAAACTAGTGAACTTACGCGAAATTCTTTTTGATATAAAATGAGGAAAAAATTAAATTAATAAGAGAATGTCGGAAATCATGTAAATGGTTTCGTTTCTGTTCATTGCGACGAGCGTTGAAGTTCTCGTCAGTGTAAAATTACTCGCCAGTTTTATTATCAGCCTCTAACCAGTACACGGGACTTCAAAGAATTTTCTCCCAGCAATCCAAGAAAGCTAAATGTTTCAAATGATCTCTCTTCACCTACTTTTGAACGTTGCAAACCATATATCTCTTCTGTGAACAACGAACTCTCTTACCTTTTTCTTAAACATTTTTAATATTATTTTATGTCAGATCAATTAATCTGTTGTATAAACGTTTCCTCTTCATGACAATACATTAAAAGTACGAACTTTAAGAATTTTCATTTATTTTCCGGAAACGAGCTACTGAGACTACTTCAAGCGTGTAAATTCGTGAATAAATTCCTTATTTTGTTTTGTTCAAATTACTCGTGTGTTTCCTCGTCATTTTCATCCTTCATTAATCTTCTTGGCGTGGGTAAATCAACTGTTCTTTTTAACCCCTAAGCCCCACGTCACTATATATTCACAGCTTGCGAAAGTTTTTGCTTGCTAAAGCTAAATAAACATGTCGATTTATAAAGATTTTCTTACGTGTTCTTTATTTAATCATTCTGTCGAATTTAATCCACATCTTCAATGTGTGTTGTGGTGTATTGTGATTTCTGCTGGGGTTAGCAATATAGCAATTATACGATGACAGCCCCGTCTCGATTAGATCATTTTTATTGTTAGTTTATTGCCATTGTATAGTGGTATGTTGATAGTAATGGAATGGAGTAAGTCGTTAGTAATGGAATTCAGCAAACGTTGTCTTAGTCGGCAACAGAGTTATTTTCACCCAAGCTTTTTAGGATCCGGGTCAAAGATGTCAAATAATTGTCTTGTAAATGGATTTTTTAAAGCATTCTGTATGTTAAAAATAAAGAAAAAAGTGTGCAAGAGAATAAGAAACACTACCTGCCAAAAAAAAAGTGAAATTTTGTTTTATCAGCTGAAAAATATAAGAAATCCGCTCCCATATTTAAAGTATCCCACACACACAAACAACCCGATGTGAGTTGTCCCCCTTCCATTTTCACGATGTCTCTTAACCGTGTTTCCAAATTGATTTTGTGCAAAAACAATTATATTTTTCCGATTTTTGGCGCTGTTAGAACCACCACAAGGTAATTTTATGTAGTCCTGTGAAGTTTTGTTGAAATCGGTTGAAAAATGTAGGAAATCCGATCCAATATATAAACGTTACACACACACACACACACACACACGCACACACACACACAATCTGCGTTTTATAATAAGATTAGTAAATGTAATTTTTACTTAATAACAATATCACCTAACCAGTACAAATTAAAAGAGAAATTTAAAAGATTTAAAACTTTATAAATTATTCTAATTAAAATTTAAAAACAATGAAAACAATTCTTGTAAAAATTAATTATTCACCGAAAAAAATGTTTTTCTTAACACAGTAGTGTCTATAATATATCTCATAAAAGCAATTAAAAGTTTGTTTTTGTTTTTTGTTTTTTTGTTTTTTTGTTTGTTTTTTTTTGTTTTTTTTTTTTGTTTTTGCTTTGGGGTTTTTTTTTTGTTTTTTGTAAATAAACAATGTCTTATTGCATTTTTATTCTGTGATTCAAAGCAGATTTTCTGTAACTGGGGTCCTGTTTGATAAGAAAAAATTGTGACTTAAATTCTCCACGGATTTGTCCTTAAAACAATGTTTAAGGACAAGTCCGAATGGATTTTTGGGGAACACGGCTGGGAAAAATATTTTTACCAAGATTTTCTAAAAAAAAAAAACATTTGTAAAATAATTTCATTAATTTGTGAGTAACTCCTAAAAGTTTTATTAAAACCTGAAAATTATCTGATTTTTGAAAGAATTTCCAAATTAATGTGTTTTTCAATACAAAAAAAAGGCTCAAACTTTCCATAATGGTCACCCGCTGATGCAAGAAAAACATTTTTTTAACAAAAATTTCGATCAAGAATATGTTGGTCTTTCCTCCTTATAGCAACATAAAGATTTTGACAATAAAACTTTGTTTTATTAATTCTGGAGCATTTTTTCATCATATGCTCATTTTTTTTTTTTAAATCTTTGGAAGTACCCACTTTGAGAAAAAAAACATACTGTAGAAAACAGTTTGAAATCTTTACTGATTTCAGTGTATCTTTATGTATAAGCTTTTAACTGAAATATAAACTTTGAAGTTATAAAAACACAAGGCCACTTGATGATGAGCACTGAACTTGCTTTTGTAATTGGCAGTTTTACACTAACTCCTCTTTACTACAAGTTTTATAAGCTGACACAGCCGATGGTGTGCTTGCCAAGGGAGATCACTTCCAAATATACTGTAAGAGGTATTTCCCTTACGAAAAGTGATGCAAGATATTTTGGGAATAGTGGCAAAGGCTATTGCTATCTACTGCTGGAAAGTTCGAACCAGTGGCATACGTCGACTTTGGACAACGTCTACAAATTATAAAATTACAGTCATTTACGTTGTTTTTTATTGCAAACAAAAAAAGATAGCAAACAACAAAAAAGCAGCAACAAAATAAGATGCAAAAAATACTTAAATTAATTAAATATAAAAATAATTTTAAAAAACTATTCGTAAATAATAATTTTTAAATACATTTTTAATATAAACACTAAAAACAAAACAAAAACTTCCTTAACAGTAACAGACAGGTTGAATACATTGAATCAAAGCAAATGTTAACTTAACCATGAAGTGAATTGCTAAAAATGGTGTAAGTGGAATGTGATGAAAAACGAACCAACAAAACAAAATGAAGACGCATAAGTGAAACAATGAACTTGTCGCGGCTGCCATTAGCCGCTCCTTAGAAAGACGACCTTGACCTTCACAACCCCTGATCTCGCAGATTTAAGTCAAGCAGCAGGCGAGAAACTGGACGACTGGCCAATATGGTGAACACCGTACCTCGTAAGCATCGGATTAGGTAGTGCTTCCCAAACATTGAACAACATGGGGAGTAATTTTATATCTACGGTTTTCTACTCCCTCTAGCCAGGGAGTACTTGAACAAATCATTCCACATATTGTTAGCCCCTTTTTTCGTCCAAATCCGACAAGCTAAGTTAGCAATAAGCCAGTTGAAGACCAGCCTCCCCGCCATTCCAATTCTGCCCTTGTGGCACATTTGTACTTTTGTACAATACCCGAGCTGCTCGGCCTGGGGGCCTGGATCAAAGTGTAGTACACTACCTTTGTGAGCTTCCGGTGCTTTGTCGAGAGAATACTCTTCGGCGTGATCCCGTTTCCGCGGTCGATCCGCCCTGGAAGACGTATCGCCTCTCTGACCAGCTTCGTCAAGTGTTAAACTTCGGCGCGATCCCGTCTCCGCGGTTGATCCGCCCTGGAAGTCGTATCACTATTCTGACTCGGCCCTGTTTAGGGTCTCCGCCTTCGTCAAGTGCTACACTTTGGCGCGATAGTCGTATCACTACACCGACTTGGCCCCTCTTTACTGTTTCTTGTCTTCTTTTCCTTTTTTTTTTTTTTTTTTTTTTTTTTAGATTTCTTTTCTCCCTTTCTTTTTCTTTTTGTATGTCTCTTTTTGAGGTATTTTCTTTCTTTTTCCTTTCGTCTGGTCTTGAATTTTCTTTGAGGTCTTTCCTCTCTTTCTCTTTTCGTATAACCGTCTCCTTTGGGGTCTTTACTCTCTTTCTTTTTCCTTTCGTCGGGTATTGAATTCCCTTGAGGTCTTTCCTTTCTTTCTCCTTTCATATAAGCATCTCTTTTTGAATTTTTTTTTTCTTTCATTTTCCTTTCGTCGGATCTTGGATTTCCTTTGAAGACTTTCCTTTCTTCTTCCTTCCGCATACGTGTCTCCTTTGAGGTGCTTTCTCTCTTTCTTTCTCTTTTTGTCTGGTTTTGAATTTCCCTTGAGGTCTTTCCTCTCTTTCTCTTTTCATATAAGTGTCTCTTTTTGAGATCTTTTCTCGCTTTCTTTTTCTTTTCGTCTTGGTCGAGGGTCTTCAGTGACGAATAAATTTAAGCTGTCTTCTTTCTCTTAGCTTTCACGAAAATACATATCTTTTTTTCGTCTTGATGTAGCAGAATTTCTCGTATGCTGAAGTTTGTTTCCTTGAATCCAAATACTTCTTTCGCGTATCCAAACCTATAGCTGATTATCGCTCTTTTAACCGATGGTCCGTTCAGTTCGAAGAGGGCCTTTTTCGCGTGACCAATTTTATAACTGATTATCGCCTTCATAGCCGTCTGCCCGTTCCATCGAAGATGGACTCACTTTCGCATGCACAAATCTGTAGCTGACTATCGCAGTCATAGCTTATTCGTCCTTCCAGCTCGAAGTCTTGGACAGGGACTTTTTTCACATAACCATCACCGGACCGTCGCATCTATAACGGACACGTCCGTCCAGCCGGAGGCTTGGACAGGGATTAACTTTTCGTTTCGCTGTTCGTTTGGGTTTTTTTTTTGGGGGGGGGCATTTTTTTTTCATCACGTGGTCTTTGATTTTCAAATTGGAGCATTTTCTTGTGTGAGAGAAAAGACACTTTCTCTCACTAACACTTTCTCTCACCTGCAGGGTTACAGAGAGTTTAGTGTGGTTTCCTCATTTGGGATCCATCCGGCTAAATTATGTTGTCAACACGTGACAGTCTGGTTAATATTTGTCAACATTCAGTTCTACCCTATCTCTTTGCTTTTCTATTTTTACGCTTTCTGTGAGTACAGACCTTTTTTTTAAAGTGCTTCTAAAATATAAGCGTTGATATAGCTTTTAGAAGTAAATTTAGATGAGGGTTCGTAAGACTACTTAATTTTACAGGAGTTAGTAACCACTCGTTTCCCTCCATACATGATCAACTGGCCAGATTTCATTGTCTCATCTCTAATTATGGCATAACAATGTTCCTCCAACCTTAGTTTTAAGGATTAACTGGTTTCTTTTAGTATCATTTTCTACAACTGCAAGGGAATATAATACACGCAGTTCTTGGCCATGTTCTCTTCTGTGCTAGGCTTGACTCAGCAAAGAGTTCTGCATAGGGTAGAGCTGCTTCTGACTATTGTGCTCATATTGTAATTGTATGGATCACGAATCTTCTGAATCCTTGGTAGTTTTCTCAGTCTGCTTGTAGAATTAGATTTCTACATTCTCTGTTTTAAACCTGTTAATAGAGGATCACAGGTAAATATTCTCAGTTTGTGCTGAACCCATTAAAATTGGCTCTAGAGTTCACTACGAAACAATGCTTTCTGATTGGTCCATAAATAATAATATCGTGTTTCTGCCTACGTCCACACGGTTGACCTCGAGTTGACCTGTTCAGAGTTCAAGGTGTCAAAAATTCTCTCGAGCCTCCCACGTGATCAAGGAAATTAATAAATATGAAACTTCGACACGATTTAGTGAGTCATCACACGAATCCATGAAACCCATCTTCCTTGCTAAAAGTTAGTTTTTATTTACATCAACCCGACATGTGGAATTCAATTTCTTTTCAACATCAACTCATCTATTGACCAATTCAAGTAAGTCAAGCAATCTATTTCATTCAATTTCACCATCAACATAAACTATTTAATTCCTTAGCAGATCTATAGCATAACACCATTTATATTACCCTTGATCACACAACCAAGAACTCTAAAGTGTTTTAAACAATTTTATTATATCGCGTGTACTTGTTGTTATATAAAAATATTTTCTGTTAAAACAAATATCTGCCTATTTGATTATTTCTCTTGTTGTTGTTGTCTTTGTTGCGTTTGATTTAGTAAAAATATTAGAAGGTTAGTTTAATTTGTATTTTGACATCGATACAGATTGGCTAACCCACTACATGCTGCAAACATAACATGAGCGTTTGTAAGCAGACAGAAGAGTCGTGAAGAAGGAAGGTTCAAAATACACTGATTCTTCAGTGTATTTTGAGGGGGGGGGTATAATAACAAAGATGAGAACATTAGTCCGACTATAAATAATGAAAACAAATCGTGCGCCAAAATATTTTAATAAGATATATAACCAGAACTTGTCTTTTTGCTTTTGTAATCAATTTTAAATAAATTTAGAGATAACTTTTGTATTTCATATTTTTCTACATTTTATATTTTTCTTAAAACTTAGAGTTAGTTACTGCTGAGAATAGTTAGCTTTGCCTAAGGTGCAAAAGTCTAAAACCAGCTCTGAGAATAATCCTTACTCTCACACTGAAATTAAAATTGAGATTCATTCAGTTAGGTACTATGCGTGATACACGCATAGGTGAGATTTTTTCCCGCAATAAGTTGCCATTTCTTTCCGCGGTAGATCAGTTGCCATCCAACCCGGTCTGTCCTACTATTAACTCATAGCTGGGGTTGGGAGAGAAGAAGATTCATACCTTTCCCAAGAGTATTAGCACGTAAGTGAATGCAATGGATTCGACTGGAATTCGAACTCGGCTCTCCGATTCCTCAATCCAAACCGTTATCCATTACTCCAAACAACATTCATACCTTGGTTTTACTTCTTATCTTTTTTTCCTTACACTTACAGTGAGTGGGAAGCTAACGGATTTAATTTAAATCCGTTAGCTTCCCACTCATATATTTAATATTTATCCAATGGCTACAAAAAAAATGTGGTGGAGCTGGTCAATATAGCCAGATTTTGTTTCCCGAAATACTATTAAATTTATAAAAATTTTCTTTCTTTCTTTTTTTTTTTTTTCCTCTCACTCTCCTACCAACTCCTTGTGCCAGACACAAAATTTAGTTGGCAGAAGAAACGATAGCTGCCGTTAGTAAGCGCGAGTTAAAGACACAAGACAAATCACTGCGTAAAATTTTAAAAACAGGAAAAAACATTTATTGTACAATTATTTTACAGTAAGCACAAAGGTACGAACAAGAACAAGAAAGGTTGCACAAAAATTTCCTTCTGTGCGCCTAACACGGCAGGATAACAATATTTCCCCGGGGTTTCTAAAAAGGAAATACCCACAGAAACAAGCTATGAAATTAATTGTTTAGTCCAACTCCGGTTTTTTAACAATTTAGACCCTTTAAAAATACAAAAGGATAAAGTTTTAGACCCTTTACAAAAATACAAAAAAAGAGATAAAGTTTTTAGACCCTTCACACAAATACAAAAAAGGGATAAAGTTTTCAGAGCCTTTACCAAAATACAAAAAAAGGGATAAAGTTTTTAGAGAGACCAACACTTAGCAGAACGCACAAAACACCAACCTCCTTTCTTTGAAGAATTTTCGTTGACAGCAGGCCAGATTGGTTTTGGAAAAGGTTGGTTTTGGTAGTTGGTTTTGGTATTTGAAGAAAGGCCCACTTGCCGGTCAATGTAGAGAGAGGGTGTTAAGTGGTCTGCGAACTGCGTGTCGTCTCAGATCTCTGCCTCGGTTCCCTTTCGTTATTTTTTGTTTCTACTGATTTCGTTTCTTAATGTCCTCTCTTTTATTTGAAAAAGTCGGCTCCACTTGGGGCCATCCGGAATTTCTACGGGTCTCGAAAACTTAATTTTCATTGGCCAATATATGAAAAAGGCCCTTCAAAAATTTCACCTTTGGCGGCTATTCCTGATCCGAAAGGGTCATAAATTTTACACAATTTCACACAAGAAAATCAGAGTTTGGCAAACAATTTTGGCGGCAAATCTTGATCCAAAATGGTCATAAATTTTACACAATTTCACACAAGAAAATCAAAGTTTGGCAAACAATTTTGACGGCAAATTCCTGATCCTAAAGAAAGAGTCATAAAAATCGCGCAGCTTTTTCCTTTTTACACACACCGTCCGGCTTACAAAAAATACACCTTTCTCAAAAGACGTGTAAATAAAAAAAACACAACACCTAGACGGTCTTACATTTAATTTGACTTTTTTTTTAAATTCTTTCTTTAAATAGAAATAAAATTTTTATAAATCTTTTTATCACTCTTGATAATTAATATCAACTTTCTTTTTTATTAGATTTTATAGAAGTGAGTGGGGGGCAGTTTACTATGTAAAAATTCATTCAAAACAATTTAAATCTGGTGTGGGCGTCCCAGAAATAATTTGGTTGTCGAGGAATTAGTGTGGAGATGTCACCAAAGTAGACCACTTTTTGGTTTAGTGGTGGTTATCTTCGAATAATGTCCTTAATCCAAATATACACCAATTTATGGCCTTTATAAAAATGGAAGCAAAGATAATTAATACAAAGATATATATTGCATATACTGATAAAAATTTCTCTCAAAATAAAATATAGAATAATAAAGTGTTCATAAATTCCTATCAGAAAGTTCTCATGCTGAAAGTATTTAAATCGTTAGCATTATATTTATGTATGTGTGTGTAGAGAGAGAAAGAAAGAAAAAAGTATCTTTGTTAATTTGCATATCGATAAAGCTAAAAAGCACTACGGATTATGAATTTCGAAACATTTCTTTTTCTTTAATTTTTTTAGTAAATCACATCGTATGAAAAAAAATGAAAATATTTGTTTTGGCTTTTTAGGAGTAGATGACATTAACATTTCTAATTTAAAAAACAAACTTTTTTTTGGTATTCGTAATCTGGGGTACTAACTCGATGAAAACAAAATTGAAAAGATTAATTATTTCTGATCGAAAAAATTGTTTTGAAGTAAGTGAAAGTTTTTAGTCAAGTTTTAGTTAAGTTAGTTTCTTTTTTTTCTGTCTTGAGACCACAATTGTTGAATACACAATTAGAATCGAATTTAGTGTTATACTCTTTGATAGGGACCAGTTTGTTGACCATTACATCTATTTTTAAAATAATTTTTAACGTCATATGTACAAAATGTCTACATGAACTGAACAATCGAACATTCAGGTAGCCACGTGGTTGAAAAATAAAGGAAATTCAATAACATATTGTACCGGATGTTTATCAAGTTTCCTAACGCATGCGCACAGAGCTTTGCAAACCTTAAACATCCGGGCGAAGAGAAACTGTCCAAAGCCGAGTGTTTACTTATTATTTGCATTCATTTGTTATTATTATTTGTAATGAATTGATGTCAATATAAGGAGAAAATTAATTACTTAATCTTTTACCTATATGTCTTTTTCTTGCATCCCAGTTTTCTGAGGGATAATAGATGAAGCGTGAAAGAATAAAATTAACAATGTCGACGTCATTGAAAAAAGGTAAAAAAAACAATATTATTTTTGTTAAAACCAAATTTTAAATTCGATTTAAAAATTAATGTAACTGTTTTGTTGTTAAACAATATTATGGAAGTTTTATATTTTAAAGTTTTGATTATTAGAATTTAAAATCAAAAAAGAAAACTTTAATTTTTTTCCGTTAAACAAATGCAAAATATCTGAAAGTGTTTTGTTAACACGTTTTTTTTTTTTAAATTTAATTTTTATTTAAATTTTTTAAAAAAATACCGTTTTTAGTTTTACGCTATGAAATTACATTCTCTTCGTAAACTTTTTCGTATAATTTTTGACAGTGGTTACCATTGGTTTCACCTTTTCAAAATGTTTTACAGAAATAAAAACAAAAAATTGAAAATGCAGACGAAAATGTTATTAAAATTTAAAAGCACTTAAAAAAAACTGTTTTTGTGGTCGAAAAATCATTTGTTTTCATTTACCTTTTTTTTTTTAAATTTTTATTTCTTAGCTTTTTTGTCTACCTGAATTAAACAGTTTTTTTTTTGCTCATTTTGGAGTTATAGAACAAACTTTTTTTTCTTTACCTTGTCGAAAAAATTTTTCAATTCAAATAAAACTCACTTAATTAGTTTGTGTGTGTTTACCAGTAATTGTTTTTCTAAAATATGTTTTTAAGTGCATGTCTTCACTCTTCACCTTTATTTTATTTTTTGTACTGAAAGCTGAAATCTATTTTAAAAAAGTAAATATTGAAACCTGTAAAATTTAAACTTTCCCTTTTTCGCATTTTTAGTTTTTTTTAATGAAGAATGTTGATTTTTAAACTTTTCTATTTTTAGATTTATTTAAATTTTAGTTTCTGTTTGGAGCTGAATTTTCGTTGAACAATATTTAGAATCCAAAACACCAACTTTCAATGCCAACAAAAAATTCAGATATGATAAAATAATAAAAAAAAAACTATTTTCAAATTAGAATTGTGCGTTACAAAATTTTAAAAAATGTATTTGTCGATACAAAAGAAAAAAAAAAGTAATTAATTTTTCTCCTAGTCTGATTTTAAAATAGATTTTATTTTTGTCCTGTCAAAACCATATTTTTTTTTTTTTTTTTCCGTAAAGTTTTTGATGAATCTTGAACTCCTGAGGTGTCAGCATAAAGAATTCCTGAAAGTATATAATAAAAAGGGTGGTTTGGCTTTGTTTGAACAAAAAAAAAATGTTGAGTTGAACCGAATGATTTTTTTTCGATAAGATGAGGGAATTGTAGTTTATTGATTTATTGATAAAGTATTAAAATGTTACCCTCTCTGAAAACCTAGAGAACACAACAGCGAAAATTTCATTTTTAAATCAAAATGAAAATTGACTTCGAATAAACAAAATAAAATCATTAACAATGGCTTGTAAGATTAGTACAGTTACTTAACTACCGCTCTTTATTAGTGTGTGCTTGTAAATCTTTGAGGTCAATAAAATGACTTAGCCTGATTTACTGTTGCTATAAAAAGCCAAGGAGTACACAAGATAGAAAAAAAATGAAACTTTGTGAGTAACTAAAAAAAAAAAAAAAGCTCTCATACACTGGCCAATTGAATTTGAAAACATCCAAAAACTGTTTAACAAAATAAGTCACTGATGACAAAATTTAGCTTCATTCAACTCACTGTATTAGCAAACTATTACTGCCGTAGTGAGTTCAAGCCTCAATAATAGGAAGCCTACACTCGTGCTAAATAGCAAATAATCATATCGTATGATGACACTATCCAAAGGTCAAAGCTTTTGTGATGACAATTTAACTCATAATTTTTATTGTGAACTGGAGCAAAAAATGACACTTAGTATTTTGTACTTTGATTGCAACCACCATTCAGTCTTATTGCCTTGATTTTTAGCCTTAAAAATTAAATAAACCAGTTCAGTTACGTGTATTTGAGTAACTTTTAGTTTTAATTTAATTACTAGCCTATATAAGCTGACCTTTAGGCAGACGTTAGGCTCTCTCCTGCGGTGGACTTTTGGGCCTTTGGCCTTTTTTTACCTCATGTACGTAAAAGTTATAAGAATTTAGAAATAATAAAATTATTTTATCTTAATTCGGTATATCCTTCATCGTATACGCAACCAATCTTCATTTGCGTGCAATTTTTGCTTTCTTTTAAAATCACTATTCTTTATGATCCCTTCACATAAAGTAAAAGATATTCATTGGAGAACCCGAACTATTTCAATTATGTCACAGTACGCGTGCTAGAAAAAAAAAAAAATATGAGCAACATACCGTGCCCCACTTAAGTTTTACTTTTAAATTACGGTTTAATTAGTAGATGATATCAATTGCAACAAAAAAGCAAAATTAAAGTTAAACCTTTTTAATAAAGAATTGCTTTTAAAACCTTTCACTGTTCGATACTTAAGTTTAACTTTTTAAAAGAGTTATTTAATTTTTTTATGGCGTGTAACTACAGTAGTTTACATGTTAGTTACTTCAATAAGTCAATGAGTCAAAAAAACAGATGGAAATGGACATACGTACCCACACTGCGTTTTATAGATAGAAGATGAAGAACTTGTAAGTTGGAGTCCTTTGATTTTAACTTTTAAGAAAATGTTTTTCCTGAAATTGGCATCAAACCAATTTCTTTAAATTTTTTTTCTCCAGAATAAGCTTTGTTGAGTCTACTCTACATCTTTAAAGGCAAACATTACAGTGCCTTTTCTCTAACATACACATATGCATACACTCACTTTTCTTAAAAAAATTAGTTGAACATCTTTGGATGTAGAAAATTGTGTGTGTTAGAGGGAGAATATGTATGTAGAAAATTGAAACTTTTTCCTCATTAAATAATTATATACAATGTTCTTTTAATTTATCTTTTCTCTACTAGATAAAGAAAGAGCATTAATAAATGTAATCAACTAAATGAAATAAAATCATTTTTCAAACAAGTTTGGTGATGACCACCTGAATGATGTTTTGCTCCTGTTGTCGACAAATATTTCACCTGATGTGGAGAAGTTATCAAACTATAAGCAGAAACAAGTGTCTCATTAAATAATTTGCCATTTTTAACTGTATTTCATTTCTAATAAGGAATTTACTTTTTCTTTTCTTTTCTATTTTTTTTTTTTTTTTTGTTGATTGTGTTGTTATCCTGCTATACCTGCAGGAAAATAAGGAACCTTCTTTAAATTATATAACATTAACTTTGTTGTTTTTATTTAAACCTCCAGACTAAGGCAGTCTTCTGGACAAAGCGGTCAGGGGTCAAGACAAATTATTATAGTAAATTTGATATCATGGCCCTCCTCCAAGACACTGCATAGCTTTCTGGTCCTCTCACTCCAAAAGGTTGCTGACCCCTGCTCTAAACCTACAGCCCATGGTTCTTTTAAATTTATTGAACTATTTTTATCTATTTTCTTTTGTCTTATTCATGAAATATTGAATTAAATATTAGTTAGGACTACTTTCTCATCTATTTGGCTACTTTGGGCTTTGATATATGGTATTATGCTAATTTTGTTACATTTAAGAATATAACAAAATCCCCCAAAATTTTGACTGAAACTTACAATTTATTACTGTATACCATTCACATTATGAAATGTTAAAGATCATATTAGTTGAAATGTTGTATTGAAACTCAGTGACATGCAGAGGTTTGATGATGACCAGGGCCAACTCCTTGGGTGAATTCCCCTAAGACTAAGTAGTGGGCTTAATACTGAGAAATATGAGAAAGGAAAACACTTTAAATATGTAAAAACAGATGAAACATGAAATAAACACTTTCTTCAAATTAAATATAAACTAAATTCTTATTTCACTCTTTGATTGGATGCCCTCCTGATATGGATGCATCCTCTGCCCTCAACTTTCTGCATGCGACTGTTGAAACTAGAAAGATGAGGATACTAATCTGAATAATTTGTTCAATAATGACATGGTGTTCTTTTTTTTAATAAAATAGGCTCAAGTTTTTATAAAAATACAAGCTGGAATTTTTCATAAATACAGTTTAAAATTTAGCATGTATGTGTCATGCATACATTAAACTGTTCTTACAAACCACTAATGTATTTGATTCTTGTTAAGTTCCCCACTATCATACCCTTGTTCCAAACTAAGATAAAACTCACTACAGATATAAGAGAGTTGTCGGGACCGGAGAAGTCACTTATATCCGGGTTTGGTCTATTTTGTTTAGGTAACACAGGCTCTAATTTGGGACCAGAGAAAATCTCTTATATTCGGGTTTCTCTTATATCCTGGTCTCACTATATATATATATATATATATATATATAGATATATACGCACACTGCATTTATTTAACTGAATGTAATTTTTCTGAAAATTCTGTAAAAGCAAATTCTTAATTTGTTGATATTTCTAAAAGATTTATTCCTTCTACTCAGAAAGTGTTGAATGCATGCCAGTGTCACTTTGTCAAGCTCTAATTCCTGGCTGTTTTGATGGATCATCATTCAAGCATAAATGAAGTTTTGACTGATATATTGTTACTTTAAAATTTCTCTCTAAAAATCAATCTGTCATCTTATTCCTTTTTCAAATAGCCAAGTGAATATGAACTGTTGAAATTTTACCCACTTCTTTCTTTCTTAATTGTCTAAAAATGATTTCACACAAATGAGAGGACAGATTTTATAAATTGAAATGATTTCTCTAAAGTGCTATGATCTGTTCCTTCTTAATCATTGAAAAAAATTAGTTATGACTTGTGTAGGTTCATAATTACAATAAAAATTGTTTTAAGATTATCCTAACTGGAACAAAATTTCCAACTTGTCTTCACAAACTCTAGTGACTTTTGTTGATTACTCTGAGATGTGACAATTTAAAGTTATATGCCTTCATTTGATTGGCTTAGAAACAAGATATGTTAATAACTAAAACAACAATTCTATTTGAATTTCTTCCAAGATAAATTAATCCACCAAGAAACAACTTTTCAATTTCACAAAAGTAGGACAATTTTTTTTTTTTTTTAAATTAACACAGATTAACAATCTCATATAAAATACCAAGCTTTCCCCCCCACCACACACACCCATGGAATTTTTTTACAGTATGCCAATTTACAATTTTATTGCAGACTTCTTGTCATTACCTAATATTAATTGTCTGTTTAATTTGTGGTTCCTCTGATATCATTCCAAAACTTTTAAAAAGGTCAGAATTAAGAAAAGTGCCCAATTCCAAAGGCTTCAGATAAAAGATTTTGTACTTGTATTTTGTTTGGAGCTGTGAAGTTGGAGTCTGAAGCAATTAAGGAGTCACTGGAGTTTCCAGTTGAATTTACACTTTTTGTAAAATCTTACATTATAGAATTTTTATTTTTGTTGTCTTTTGCATCCTGTAAAAGATCATATTTCAACTTCTGTTATAAAGTAGTTTTATTTTTGTTCTGTATTTATTTCTTATTTGCAAAGATATATATATATATATATATATATATGTCTTATATTATAGTCTTTTTAGCATTTTTTATTTCTTCTATATCCTTTCAAAGATTTTGTTTTTAATTCTATTGAAAAATGAATAGGTATGATATAAACCAGTTATAATGATATAGGCCTACTCAAGTTAGGAGTATATGCATAGGCTTTGAGATTTGTAGGCCATAATCACTTAATTATATAAAGAGGAGTCAGAGGTGCCAAAAATAAAGGAGTCAGTCAAAGGTTTTGCTTTCTGACTCCACAGCCCTGATTTTGTTAAAAAGTCTCTAAATTTCTTTTATTTTATTAAAATCTTTGATTAAATTTTTCTAAATCAACAGGGCCTGAAATAGAAATCCAGTGAATGTAGTAGTGCTATCTTTCCCTAACTCCAGTCCAGAATAGATACTTATTCCAATGGCAGGAGAAAGTGAGGATCAGGAAGACAGCAGGGACCTCCTTGTGTCTAGGCGACTTCGTTCCAAGGGCTCATATCTGCATTCTTATATCCGTTTTGTCAATTGCACTCAACGCCTTGTAGACATTGTGTGGCTAAATCATGAAGGAGTTAGTGTGCGCTACAAGACACTACCCTCAAAGAATTGGGTGGATGTTAATACATATGTTGGCCACCCTTGGATTTTCCGTGATGCTATTACTGGTGACAAACTGGTTGTTCAGCTGAAAGAAGTCTTTGAACCTCCTGCCCACTGCTATGAACGTGATGGAGCTGTAAGACGGGTTGTTATGATAACCATCCCAGGTGAGTTCAGACATTTGCTATTTTTTATTTTTTTTAAAATTCAGATGTATGGTTTTTAACTTTGAGGACTTAGCCAACAGAACACACTCCCCTCTCCCGGCTTGAAATAGATTTTTATTTATGAATGTCATTTTTTTTTGTCTGGAGTTCATAAGTTCAGCTCACTAATCACTTATCAACAGTGGATACTCTCCCATTTCTTTTAACATTGTTTGGCTAGATATCTAAATTAAAAATAACTTTTTTTTTCCTAAATTTTCAGTTATAAAATTTATTAAAGTAATCAACTTTTTAAATTGACAAGGCTGATGAAACTCATAACATTTTTTATGTGTGTATATGTAAACAATGCTTGAAACATATTTCTAAATTTATCTATTATATTTGTGCAAAATCTCAGACTTAAATAACATTGTTAATGGAAATTTATTTCTCACTTGCTTTGAAAACTTAAGACTGTTATTACCCCTACACTGCTTTATATATCAAGTAAATACAACACCATACAAAGGTCTTAGGCCATTTTAAACTAATGTAAATTTCTAATTGTCATCTTTATAAGTGGATGTTTTTTACTATGCTGTCTATAGATGAAAATTTGGCCATATTGGTGTTATTTTTACAATTAATTATCCTATTTTTTATCAAGGATTCTGAAAGGGCGTGGAAATTGCCAAAATTGCTGTGCAAGATATTTCAACCACCTTGTATAAACCAAGTCAGATGTTTTAAAACAGAAATTGTCTGAAATGAAAATGTATTATACAGTGTGGCAGAATTACCTCCCTACATAATGGTAAGATGCTAGCTAAACAGACATCATTACCACTAATGTCTTACCATTATGTAGGAGGTATTTCTGCTGAACACTGTATGTTAATATCAAGAAATTAATGCACACTATTAATATTTTATGTGACTTCCTGTAGTTTGAATTGCTTCAATGCACCTGGGATAGGATGTTTACAAATTCTTCACAGGTATTAGATACTGTGATTGTGCTTTCACAATTCAAGATCATGTGGATTCTTCTAATGAATTCTACTCATTAGTTGTGTCCAAATTTAATCCATGATTTAAGTCCAGGATCTCATCTGGCTAATTTTTCAATACAGTGGCACATTCAATAATCACTCTCTGTTGTGTTGAATGTGCTATGGAGCTCCATAAGACTAAAAAATCTCACCTTTATCCAAGTAGCAATTGTTCCTTCAGAAAGAAGATGTATTTGGCACTATTCAAACTGATGTCAATTTTAAACAATCCTTTTGAGCGATCCCTTTTTATGCGGCCCTATCACACATGCACAAAATAGTGTGTGTTATTGAATTTCTGTCAAGATTGATTGTTGGAATAAAAAATTTTTACTGTTTGACAAGTTATTCACCTATAACTAAGTTCTCCCTCAACTAATATGGTATGCCAGTAACATATTTTGTCAAGTCATTTGGCAGTGGGACAGTGCAGGAAGAAGTGGGTTCATACCTTACAAGGGTATTAGTACAAAGCAAACAAGCCAATTCAGCTGTTTGCCATTTTGATTGTTATGCTTCCCCCTCCTTTTCTTGATACTTTCAATATATGAGTTTCACAAATTAACATTTCAACTATGATTCCATAATGAAAGTGTGATTTTTTTGATTTTTTTTCCTCTTTAGTTTACTCTTTAAAAGAATGTTGTCTTCAAACTCTGCGACCAATTGTGCCTGCCAACTATATGGAGAATTTAGAATTACCTCGTACTTTGATCACAGAATTGAAGAACTCTCTCAAGAGAAATCGCTTCCTCTCTACTGTGGTAAGATTTTAATCGTCTTGTTTCTAAAGATTATTAAATCCATCCTCAACATTTTGAAAATTAATCATTGCCTGTGAATTTGATTATAGTGAGACATACCCACTCTACAGCCATCTTTCTTGTCTATATTTAAACATGACCTGCAGTGTTCAACAATTTACTCATTAACCTCATACAAGTTATATAAGATAATGATAAGCTTAAAAAATATTATCACCCAAATATGAGATCTAAACAACAAAATAAATTGTATCATTAAATCATAAACATTCATTACACTAAAATACCCCAAAGAAATCTTCAAAACAAACCCAACATGCAGACTTGTGAACCTGACTAAAAGTGAAATAGGTAAAATAAGACTAGAAAGAATTAACTAAGGATGAAGTTAGGAGTGAAGCAGTGGAAAAACACAAAAATTACTATAGACTGCTTCTGCAACCTAAAAAACATATTTCTAATTTATACAACTAGTTAAACTATCAAGGATGCTAAATGATGTAATTTAATGCCTAATAAAGTGAGTAAATGTTAAATTTTTTTAATGTAATTCTTATCTAAAAATACATTAATTAATTTCTCAACTTAAAAGGATGAGAAATTCATGTATTTTTTTTTTTAAATATATGTTTTGATTTAACTGTTTTCTTTTAATTTTTTAATATTTTTATGGTCATGTATGTTGGCTTTGAAAACATCTGGTGCTCAGATTTACATTTTGGCAAGATTCAATAGTGACACTCTCAAGAACTTTATCATTTTCTCTTTTAATACATGTCATTTTTCAGATCAAAATTGTGGTTGAACTTATTTCTAGGTATGAATAATGCACTTGGTAAATTGTTATGTATAAGATCCTTTTTGTGTTCATAGATATGTTTTTTGTTTTTTTTTTAAATCTCTGTAAGTTTCCCCAATGTATTGTGAAAAGCAGTTGTAACAGATTATTTTATATATAGCTGCTTCAGAATTATTATGGACATTTTCATTCTGATCATAGTTTGGGATGTAATTGTAATTATTTTGATGTTAACATTGGATAAATTGTTTTGGATAGATGTTAAGCAGTTAATATTATGTCTTTTTGTCTGGTTTATTGTCATTGTTGTTAATTTTGCATGCTTTTCTCTTAGCATTGTGGATAAAATAATGAGGATATTCAAGGTTTTTAAAGGCGTTTTTATACATATTTCTTCAGGTAAATATGGGGGCTGCAGATTCTTAGTGCTCTTAAATAAAATAATCCTTTAATTATTAGATATTATTCTGTTGTAGTTATGAGAATAATAGTTTGAGGTCATTATTCTTGTTAGATTTTCTATTGACTTTTAATTGAAAGTCATTATTGGTTCTATGTAGCATGAAGGTTAAAGTGTTGTTAATTTCAGATTCAAAAATGGAATCTGTTGTGGGTTCAACATTATTAACAACAATCTTTACTCACTTTTGTTTATTAGGTATTAACTTATGTCACTTAGCATCCTCTATAGTTTACATTCACTTTCACAGTTAGTCTGAAGAATGTCTGAGCATTCTTAAATTTAAAAATTTTGAAAATGTAATGACATTTTTTACTTCTATTTATAAATACATATTGCAAAATAAAATCTTTACATTTGCCTTGACAAAATGTGTCGAAGAAAAAATTTCCTTTTGTCTTTGTCTTTTTATGGCTATATTTTTAACTGAATTTTTATTATATAACCCATATTTTTAGTGTGCTTAAATACATAATATTCTCAGTATTTCTAAAATCAGGCAACATCACAGCAAACTAACAGGATAAAAAGAAAAAAAGAAATCTCTGCCATGTAATGCAATTAGAATATTTGTACAACCAGAGAATTTTGTTGCTTATTACAGATTGTTTTATTAAAAAAAAAACTTATATACAATTATTGAATTTATAGTCATTTTTTTAAGCCTTCCGCAAGATTTAAATCTATTTTTACTATTTGAAGAAATGAATGTCTGCAAATGTAAACTGCAGTTTGATTAGAATGACACAATTTTGAAAACTATTTCCCTTTTACTTTACATTATTCAGCTGTCTCTGCTAACTAGTATTGATGAAGAAAAAAAATCTCTATAAAGGTTAATGACTATTTTAATGTAAAAGATGTGAATTCATCTGGCTGCTTTAACAATGACTTTTTTGTTTTCCAGGAAACTGTCCAAAATTCAAACACTTCAGCTCACCAACCAGCCAACCATTGATCTATTGTAAAAGAGAAGGCATTTGAATGTGTGTGTGTGCATGTGTGCGCAAAAGAGATTTTTAAAAAATAAAGAAAAAGTGGGGTGTATGCAAACTGCACTCACTGACCTAATGTGAGAATCTTTCAATTAATGTAACAAATGCTGTTCCCAGCAAATTTAATTTTCAATTCTGCTGTGACATGTAACTTGTAAAGAACTCTTTGGGTTGATCACAAAAAAAAAAAAAGACAAAACTTTTTATTATAAACTAGAAATGTCAGAGTTTCAGCATGAACTTTACTACTGCAACTTCTATAAGATGCTGAGTAATTTTTAAAAAGGGGAAGGGGGGGGGAATGTATATTTCTCCAGGGGTCTAAGCCCCTAAGAAAAGAACAATTGTAATGAGAATACCCATAAAAAAAATAAAACTAATTTTATTCACTTTTCATGGGAATTTTTTTTTTTTAATTAGCTTTGGTATCCAAGAACATTGCTGATCTCTTAATACTGGTTTCGTCTCTGAATTGAAATTAACAAACCTAAATGGTCTCCAGTATTTTCTTATCAGAGATTGTTGAAGAAAGAACTAAGTTGAAGTCTTAAATTATTTTTGAATTAACTACTTTCATTAATTTTCACAAAGTTGTTTTTTTTTTTCTCCATCATATTATTGTAACTTCCAACAAGGTATGTCAACAGAGACTGCTGTAATACAAAGAAACTATATCAATGCATTTTCTAAGATCCCAACAAAGATAAATAAGCCTACTTAGAAACTCCATTCTCTTAGGACATATAGCTCTTCTATGCAATAATCACTTCTCTAGCTTATCTACACAAACCTTTGAGAAAGGCATGAAACTACTATTCTTGTAATCTTTGCCTTCACTACATGCGTCATTGATAGCTAAGTGAGCACATTTTTGTGTAGAAAGAGTTCTTAACAACCAATGATTTATTTATTATATTGAAATGACACAAATGAATAAGCACCAAATTTTTCTCAGCAAACAAGTACATCCTTTCGTCACCTATTTACAAGACCTTCAAAGAAAATCATAGAACGGTAGAACTAAAATTTTCATGTTATTTATTCACAGCAAGGTTTATTGAAAATGAGAAAGAAAAATAACTTGAATTTATTTAACTAAATTCTTATTTGGATCATAATAATGATCTTACAACTCCTTGCTGAGCAACTGAGGCTGCTAAAAGTCCATCTTGGGTCCAGAAACGTCCAGTGGCAAATCCTATACCTCCACCTGTAATAAGAAGGAAAGAATAAAATCTCATCTTTTTTTCTTTTAAAGATGTGGGTTTTTTAACATTAATTTGAATTTCAATGTTAAAGACTTTTCTGATTTCTTCTTTGAACTTTTGGTCTGTATGACCAAATATTAGCTGTGTACACAGGTTTCTAGCAAAAAGAAACTGTTTTCAACTGTATATTCAGTCTCTAATTCTTTAAGGAAAAGAAATTAAAAAGAAGTCATTTGTTATTATTTCTTCCTTTATGTTTTTTGTTAGCAACAACAATTTTAGACTAAATTTAGTACAAATTTGGAATCAGCATATGCAATATGCATAATTTACACCAAATGAAGAAAAAAACAAACTGTTTGCTATCTAAACAAATGATACTGTATGAGACTAGATTGAGTATACAGATTTGGAATCTATACTCAGAAATGTCCTAATAACTAAGTTTTTTTGAGATATACACATAAGATATTTCTGTTTATGTTAAACATTGATGTTCATGAACTGGCAACATGGATTCCTTCATGTTAGTTGTGCAGAACTTTCTTGGTTCTCCTGGAGCTGAAATCTATGCTAATTTAATAAACATGCTCATATCAAAACTCGGGATGTCCTTTAAAAAAATACATCTTATATTCTTGTTCTCTCTCTCTCTCCAAACTGAACAAGAGGTTCTACCAGGACATATCTGTAATGAAATCCTGTTAAAGAATTCCATCCCAAACATGATGGTTGTCAAGTGCTGGTTCATACTGCAGGAGATCAGCTGATCAGCCAAGAACAAATATGTCAAATATTTCTGGGAAAAAAAATCAGAAATAAAGTATTATGTTTATTTCCCATCATCAAAATTTTCCTTGAGACAGTATTAAACATAATATTTACCTTTGGCATAAATATATACACATTTCAAAAACAGTTCCAAGTCTAGATTTGAAAACAGCATACTTTGTTTGGCTAACACATTTTTTTTATGGTGAAGATACTTAATATCTCAGGTTATCTCTCTTTTTTAGAATTCATATTCAGTTATCCCCTTAATATTCACTTTTCTAGCACAAATGTTTTCTTTCCTTTTCTAAAGACACCATAATGTAATTTACAACTCCACATCTCTGGTGGATGCCTCACAGTGGAGATCTGAACATTTCTCACTGATTGAAAAGCACACTCAGAAGCCACTGCAGTGAAGTGTATTTCAAAGTAGAAAAGCCAATTCATTGCTTGGTGAAGAGGAAATTGTTCCTTTTTTAAAATGTAGTTCAACAAGTGTCTTTGAGTAAAAGAAAGTTGTAATATTCATTCAAATTTTGATTAGACAAAGCATTGCCAACAGTTAGTAAATTTTTATTGGTATTTCTTTGCTCTTAATTTATTTTTCATTGAAATGATTTGGATCAATATTGTACTACTATTATTAGTAGTAGTAGCATTAAATACTATTTCTGATATACACCAATAGCCATAAATTGATGACCTAAATAGTTGCGAGTAAAATAACTAAAACTGAATAGAAAGAAATGTCATTAATGAATTATGAAAGAGAGACATTTATACACCATGACATGATCGAGTATTTTTGAAACAACCTTTTAGTTTTCTCTATGGGTGAAAAATTTTGGTCATGGTTAAATGAAATAAAGAGAAGCCATAAGAGAAAAATAAAACTATTCAGGAGATGACAGAAATATGGAGAGACAGAAAGAAAAGTGGGTTCATGGTAGAGCATGTAGTCCTAGGGACATGGCTTGAGGTCAATGAAATTTACTGGCTTCATTTTTATTGTAGCAGACTTTTTATGTCATAGGTGATCATGGCTCTCTAGAACTATGCAATGTTTTACTCATTACCATCTCTCTTTGTTTTCACATCCATTCGCACAAGCTCATTAAGTCGGTGACTCACTGTTTTTTTATTTCAACATCCTGTGAGTGTTAAATTCTCTAGGTCCTCTTTTCTCATGCATCCCAGAAATTTCAGCTGTCTCTTTTTGATTTTAAGTATGATTTTTTTGTTGTTTCTATTTTCCTTAAAACTTCCTTATTGCTCACATGTTCTGTCCATAGTATTCTTAGCATTCACTGATGGAATCACATCTTTATGGCTTAAAGTCTCTTCTTCATCTGTGAGGAGATTGTCCAACATTCATCACTATATATGAGATTAGATATTACATGGCAACTCAGCACATTGATTTTTGTGTCATATTTTTCATTGTCTTACTACACAACCCAGAGAGTTCAATTTCTGTACCTGTTTGATATGGACATCACTCATATGTAGCTCACACTGTAGTATGTCTCTTTTGCTGATGACCATGCAGTCAGTCTTCTTACAGTTTCCATTACTAAATTGTCTTCAAGTTCTTTCTCTGTCATCAACAGTGTATCTTAAGATTATAATGCACTAATAATAAATCCTGGTAGGTCTTCTAGTTCTCTTAGAATTGTCTCACTAAGTTGAATAGATCCAATAAGAAAATGCATCCTTGTCTTTCTCCTTTTTATTTTCATGCATTCACTTAATTTCTTCTCTATTGTTGCTTGTTTGTTTCAGCAAAGGAATTACTCAAATATCTTCCCCATGAAAATCGAGTTTTTTTTTCGAGTATGTCTTTGTGTCTTACCTTAAACTTTTACATAATCTATAGGGCTATCTGTATTTGTGATGATCATTCTAATAGCAGTTCTTGTTCCAATATCTTGAACAATGTTATGCTGTTCTTATCCTTGCCTAATTCTGCTACAGACTGTATTCCTTAGAATCCTATTGATTACTTATGTGGTTCATTGAACTGATTGTCCAATGGAGTTTATATTCATTTGAAACTGACTTCTTTGGTATTGCTATATAGAAAGATTTACAGAGATCTCCCTGTTATATAATTGATTTATTATTTTGTTAATCTTATTGATACCAAATCATCCTAGGCTGACAGCAACTCTCTTACAATCCCATCTGGTCGTCTACATTACTATCTTGTTTCTTTCTGACTTCAGCTTTTATATATTTCATGATGATAATTTCCTGTGATTTGCATTGGCTTTTGATATTATCTTTGGTGTTGACGTTTATACATAAATTACTATAATGGCAAAATTGAATGCCTTCCTTTTCAATTTCCCTAAAACTCTCTGAAAATTGTCAATATCTCAAAACATTTCCATTGTCATTATTAACATCCCACATTTGGATATTATGCAAACATTCCATGTCTCAATCATTTTCCTCACAATTACTAACATAGGTCATGTGACTTAATGGAAAGTGGCTGTATCATGGTTCTATAGATGACAAAATGAAAAGCCATGTTATGGATTCAAATACAAAATTGATGTTATGTTCAAGTCATCGTCAACACTGGTGGTGGTGGTGGTGGCAGAAATGGCTGTGAATGAAGGAGGGTTTTGACAAGGCCATTTATTGTTGCTGCTCAAAAAATAAATTTGAAGACCAGATAAAATGTAGATGTATTTGTAGAAAGTGAATATTACCAACATTGTAATGGAATCTTTATTTACCAGAATGTCCCACTTGTGAGAAATTTGTTACAAAATTACAATTTCCCTCAATGTTTACAAGAATTAATAAGTCGTCCATATTTATGCACTCAAAACTTGAAAAACCATTAAATTGAATAATTGAGCTCTTTCCAGAGATACACATTTCACCCACTAGTACATAAATAGAATCTGTTAAAAATGAGCAACACTTTAAGGAATTCTCTATTTAAAAGGTAGTAACACTAGGGTTCTATTAAAACCTACCATTGTCATGATTTTCTTTAATCTGGCACAAAAGTTAAATAAAGAAGATTAGAAAGAATGTGTAGATTGTATCAAATGAAGTTAGTTTGTCTGCCTTCAAAAATAATTTAAAATCCTGGAATTGAAAACCAACCACTGGATAGAAACATACCACTACCTTCAAGCATAAATGTTATTTTCACATCATACTATTCATTTCAATAAAATGTGCTTTTAAAATTATCGTAAATATAATGATGGCAACTAAATAATAGCAAATTTAAATAGTAAAACAATAAGAAATCAGTTATTTACTAAGTTTAGCTTAGCCTGATACAAGGCCATAAATATGGTTCACCCAATGAAAATCAAACTCAGTCACAATGGTCTGCTGGATGAACTCATTAATCAGTAATAGTATGGCAAGGCACCTAATACAATAAGAACATTTCAGAGAAAATATTTTTAATTATTGGATTAAATTTTTAAAGGAAAATTGGTTTTTACCTGTGTAACAGCTTTCAGTTTCATACAACAGCCAATCATCGACTCTGAATTTATTGTGAAACCAAATTGAATGGTCTAAAGAAGTGACAAAGAATTTCTGTGAACTTTTCTCATTTGGAAGTAAAGATGTTGTGATAATAATATAATCAGAAAGATAGGCAGCTGCACAACAATGTATATTTTCATCATCATCTGCAAAGAGACAAACATTAAGTATTTAATACAGGCTTCGATTTCATGATCTTTAGGAGTGGTGTATAGGAGGGGACATTTTTTTTCCATTGTATAACAGAATAGCTAAAGGGATCAACATTTTTATCAGTATGGAAGATGATTAATACCTCTCTCTCTCTCTTTATTTCCCTTGACAAAGTTTGTCATAGACTTGTTACTAATCAAGTTATTGATAATGAAACATAGCAAATACCAAATTTGACACAAAGTTGTTTAAAATTATATATGAGAAAATATAGTTTTAACATAAGCTATACTGGGTAAGAGAGATCAAAATTGCGGATAGAATATGTAAATATAAAAATGGACATTGAGGTCAACACTGAGCATCGACAATGTTTCATGCTTGAACACAATCTTCAGGACGTGTGTTGTCTCAACTATTTATATATACTGGATAGCAAAGACTGTTGCATCATCATAACTGTTACCATTATTTATATATATATATATATATATATATATATATATATATATATATATATATACACACACAATACAAATCTTTTACGTTTATATGCTAATCCCAGTTATTTTAATTGCTAAATAGTTGATTGTTGGATTTTTCTTTTTTATTAATAATGCTTCCATTATTTTTTAACCATTTTGTACTTATGGATGATGCTATTATATTTGTATTAACGAGTATGATACAGATGGAGTTTGGTAGGTCTCCATATGTATTTAAATGAAACCTAATTGAACTATGTTCAGAGAGATGTAACATAGCTCAATTAGGTCTCATTTAAATACACATGGAAACTTGCCAAACTCTCTCCATAACATACTCGTTGATAATACAAATATAATAGCATCATCCACATGTACAAAAAGACTAAAAATAATGATAGCATTATTAATAAAAAAAGAAAAAAGCCAACACTCAATAATATCAACTATGAATATGGCCACAATGACCATGTTTGAAAAATAAAACATTCCTATAACTCTAGATACATACATAAAACAATCCATATATTCAATTAAAATTAGAATAAAATTCATCCTTGATAATGGCTAATAGTATAACCATAAGCACTTGAAAAACATTCGGGCAATTTTTATATAATTTATGTCTGTAAAGAAAAAATTATATGAACACATGAGAAATTATATAAAAAAACTCAACCACAGCACCTTGTCAGTTATTTTCAACAAAACTTGCATGCATATATTAAAATATTCTATATTTATAGGGGAAGAGTGTTCAGATAGTATAGACATGGGAATCAACACTACATGGTGGCTGTCAGTTTCACACCTCAATATATATATATATATATATATACACACACACACACGTAAAAGGTTAATGGTTAGCGTTAAATCAGACCAGGAAACAATAGTATTAAAGTGTTCTCTCTCTCTCTCATATATATAATATATATATATATATATATATATATATATAAATATATATATATATATATATAATTTTCTGTATATATATATATATATATATTTTTTTTTTTTTTTTTTTTTTTTTTTAACTTTTATAAGTATTACTACTAAATTTGAGGACACTACATTGGTTTTACTATGGCTTATCAATCATTTGTTGGTTATTTAATGCTAAGACATATTTTGGATTTTTTTTTTCCTGCACATCCACTATAGAATTTGGAAGAGTTTATCTGTTGCTATGCACAAACCTGCCATTTAACATAAATTTAAATATTAACATTAAATTCTTAGATTGGTCATACAACCACCACAATCTGATAGGTTAACTTGCCACTGAACACAATTTGTACACATATTGATCATCACAACTAAAGTAGGATGAGTAACATAAGACAAATATTACTATAGATTATAGTAAATTACAATAGAACTCCCTGTAAAGAAAGACTTAATATTTTTATATGATTACATACATCAATAAATACATTGTTTAATCGTGAAAGAAAGCATTTATTTTATGAAAATATTTTAAATATTTTTTAAATTAATCTATTTTATTATCAATGCATTTAATTCGGTGGTAAATATTAAACACTTTATCAAACTTTGTATAGTTAAAAATTTCTTCATAACGAATCCCCCTTATAAGGATAGTTAGAAATTGTTGCAACAAGAAAAAGGAATTGTATCTTTTTTTGACATCTACATTATAAAAAGAAGAAACATCTTTGACTTCCATTTGGCATTGCCTGTCAACACTACAACCTACTTCAATTATTGATTTTTCAAAATATGTACAGGCAGTAGCAATTTGTAGACTTTACCAAGTTTTTCTATAATCTTCACCCATGTAAGTCTTCTAGGAGGCATTGGTTTTAATCTGTACAATGCTTCTGGATCCACAGGTCGAAACTCTACCACTGGGTCAATGCCAAGCCGTTGTTTAAGGGTTTTCTTCAGATCTTCACTCAGGTTTTCACTGAAAGAATAAAGCAAAAATTTTTCATCAATGTTATAATTTTCCTCTCTACTTTTGTGACTAAGCTTTTCAGTTCAAACATTTAAAGTCTAAGATTTCCTTTCCTCATTAACAGAAACAAATTAAAAATGTCCAATGGCTGTTGTATAACAGTCAGAGTAAGAAACAGCCATTAGTATGAAAGAAATACAAGTCAAAATTTCATAAAGTCAAATTTAATAAAACTTCAAGATAATATGGCTCCTAATACTTTGAGCATATATAAAAACAATAAACATCAAATATAGCAGCAAGTAAGCCTGGGAAAATGAAGAGGAAGCTTATATGGTTTGATTTTCTGCTGACACTTATCTCTGCTCATTTAAATGGAAAAGCAGCCATTACAGAAAACAAACGACCCAAAGTAAAAGTGATGCAAGTACAAATCTCACCAGGAGCATAGTCTTTAGTAACCAATGTAGACCAAAACTAATGTCATTAATGACTATAAACTAATAATCCAAGTAGTTGCAATGATAAGTAAATAAAATTAAAATAAAATACAAACAAAAATTAATAATGGTCAAATTATAACTCCATAAGCTTTCAAGTAAACAACTTAATCATAAGTTAGACATGCTTTTTGAAATAGGTTTGGACATTTTTTTTTTTTCTTTTTAATCATTCATCCCAAGCAAAGTAATACAGCCACTAAAATGCTTGTGTTTAATGAGTGTGAATAAAAGAATATGAGAAAAAGAAAAACATTATTAAGGAGCAAGAACAATAAAAGAACAGGAATTAAGAAAACAGAAGATAACAATTGACATTGATCTTCAAACATTTAGATGCAAAGTTGACTGCAAAACATGAAAGCCAGAAGATAGTTCCACTAGAGAGAAGTGCAAGAAAAGAAACTATTAGCATAGAAATTAGTTATATTTAGCAGTTTCAACTGGAAAATAACAAGACCTAGCTACCAATCTAGTACTATACTCATATTCATAAACTCAAGGTAATAAAGAGGAAAACTCATAAGAGCAATTACCATGAAAATATTTATAGAAAAGGCTACATTACAGCAGTGAGGAAAGGGACTGAAACCAAGATGCCAGATGTAATATAGCTTGATGAATCCCATCTCTCTTCAAGCTGTTTGAATTCATTTTTTCTTCTATTAGACTGGTTGCTGTCTTTATCTCATAGCTGGAAAATGGATTCTTGAAACAAGAGCTGGAGAAAGTCTAAGGAATGTCTGTGAAATGGTGGCAGGCGACAGTACGTTTGAACTACATATCACTTCATTTGTGTGGATTCAGTATAGTTGTATCATACATTGTGCTTGCTTAGTGGTTGAGACAGTTGCATATTTCTCCACTGTTCAAAATGCATTACTACTGTAATGAGTAATGAGGATTTTTTTTTCTTTTAATAAAATTCATTATTTTTAGAATAATAATCAAGTATATATGCTATTATAAATTAAGTAAATTGGGGCTTGTCTCTATTGGTTCTTTCTTTTTCCATTTCTTCAGAGTGACTTTGGTGATTTCTGGGTTCACCAGTTTATTTTAAAGGTACATCATGGGACATATGGATATTTATGCAAGAAAAAAAAGAAGATATGAATGAAATTGTACATAGAACAACAATATTTTATTGCTTTAGAAAAGCTAAACAAGAAGGCTTTCAAAAGAGGTCAATGGAAATGGGTAGATAAAGATGTCCTTTATTTGTAAATATGGTGTGTATAAAGTTCTATTAAAGATGTGGCGAGATTTACATTAGAGAAGTGGTTTTTGTTGGATTGTTAGAGTAATAAGCTTAGGGAATTTGTATGCTGTGTTGTTTTCAGTTGATATGTGATCTGCTAGGGACAAAGACAACCCAACTCCACCCCACCTACCCCCCAGAGAAAAATGTGACACATCTTGTCCCTATGGTATCCTCTGGGTAAATGAAAGCAAAATATGAAGTCTGGTAAGCTGTAAAGATCTGAACTGACCAGACGCCTCATTTTTGCTTTCTCTTAAAGATATATATATATATATATATATATATATATATATATATATATATATATATATATATATATATATAAATAAAAAAGAAAAGAACAGTAAGATATAAAATCCGGTGTTCTTATAGATATTTTATTTTACAAAATAGTGCTCAATGTAAATTTACAGAGCATTAATATTATAAATTAATTGATTTAAAATATGGTTATTTTCGCTAACAGTTCCAACTATGTTTCAAAAATAGAAGCTAAAACCCTAATTTTATTTTTTTTAAATAAATTAAAAAGCATTAGTTCTATTTCATCTTCAAGCGAATTTTTGGAGTAACTTTTTAAATTTACGGGTTTTAAATACACAGAAAATCACGTTTCCATGGTTACAGAATATTCTACTCAAATTGAACACGGGGTGTCTAGATTTTCCTTATGACAGTATCATTGTATCAGTTATTAGCTACATTTTGGTAAGGGGTGAGGATGTATTTTACACTGAAACCTGACGTCGGTTGAATGGATGTCGTCTGAATTTTAAAAAAAAAAAAAAAAAAAAAAAATTTTTAACGGTAAAAAATTTTCAACGTCATCTTTTAAAATTAAAGATTTTTTTTACAATACTTTTTATTTAACTACGATTTGAAATATTTTCCTTTTTAATTTTTATTTTACTATATTCTTTTTAAGAACAGTTAAATGTATTAGAATCCATTATATTATGTAGGATTATTTTAACATTAAGTTTAAGTATGTATATGAGGTTACATTTTTTTTTTTTTTTTTTTTTTTTTTTTTTTTTTTTTGTATATGACTATGACAGCAGAAATGGTTACTTAATTTCACTGATTCAGTAAACTTTTCTTTTATATATAAACCTATTATTATAATATTTCACATGTAAGTACTTCAAAATAGATAGAATTAGAAAGTTATTATATAAAGAATTTAAAAGCATGGGCTTAAAATTACAGTTAGTACTAAATTAAAAAAGTAGACTTCCTAGATATAACTTTAGATCTAAATAAAAATACATACACACCTTATAAAAACCCAACACCAATCCTTTATATATACATCCTAAATCAAATCACCCCCATCTATAATTAAACATATACCGTTATCTATAAGTGGAACTAATTAGTACAAATTCAGCTAATAACAAGATTTTGATGAGCATATCAATGGCTATAATAAGGCTCTAAAAGATAGTGGCTACAAAAACCCAAAACTAGCGATATAAAAATGAAAATGGAAAACATAGAAAAAAACAGATGTAGAAAAATTATTTGGTATACTCCCCATATAACCAAATGGTAAAAAAACAGATTAGGACATAAATTCCTCACATTAATAGTCAAGTTTCCCAGAAATAAAACTAAGTACTATTTTCAATAAAAACACACTAAAATTAAGTTATAGCTGTACAAAGAACTTAGAAAAAAATCATTAAGAACCATAATGCTAATATCTTAAATAAACACTTATACCAAAACCAAAAAAAAATTTAGACAATAGAAAAATTAAGATAAAACTGATGTAAATAAACAAAAAACTATGTAATTGTCGAAACCCTCAAAATTGCCCACTACAAAATAAATGTTGCACTGAATCATTAGTATACCAATGCAATATCTCTTCGATTGAAAATCCTGATAACATAAAATATATATAGGTTGCACTAGCCATGAATTCAAAAAAGATTCAACCAACATCAAACTTCATTTAGAATAAATAAATATAAAATCAAACATCTCTCTTATTTCTGGCATCTAAAAGAATCAAATAAAACACCTACAGTAAAATGGAAGTTAATAAGAAGAGCTAGAATTTGTAGATCATTAAAACGACCCCCATTTATACAAGAGAAACTATATATTACTAAGTTTATAAAAATAAAAATTTACTGAATCAGAGAAATGAAATTATTATATGCTAAAAAAAAAAATTTTCTTAAATAATAAAAAAAAAAAAAAAAAAAAAAAAGTCTATTGAATGGCAGGAAAAATGTTTTAAACTGTTATTTAAAATTGTGGTTAAAACGTATTAAAACATAAACACCGTTTAAAAAATTGTAGTTAAATAAAATGTATCCTAACCAAAACACCTTATAATAAATGTACTAAATGAATCCGATAAAACACCTCCTGAAAAAATGAAATTATAACTAAAGCTAGATGATGTAAGGTAATGTATGACCCATTGTTCTTTTTGTACATACATATGAAACTTTATTACTCAGGTTACATATTTTAAAATAAATAATTTAATTAATTAATACATAAAGTTTACTAAATCTGAGAAATGACTTAGATAGTTTTGTAGTCTGTGCCATTTATATTACTTAAATATTTAAATATAATAGTTTAAAATTGTAATTTACATATACTTTGTTATGGAAAATAATTATTTACTATGAGTAATTATCCTTCTGTTATAAAAGTAATATAGTCAATTAAAACTAACAATGAAAATATTTTAAAATTTTAATGTGGTAATTTTAAAATTGTAATTAAAATTGTAGTTAAATAAAATGAATTCTAACCTGTTCTTGGACATACATATGAAACTTTACTATTAGGTTACATATATTTAAAATAAATAAATAAATTAAGTAATAAATAAAGTTTACTAAATCAGAAATGATCAGCTTAGTTCCATTAATATTACTAAAATAATATTTTAAAATATATAAAGGTTTAAAAATTGTAATTTACATATACTTGGATATTGAAAAATAATTTTACTTACTATGAGTAATATTCCTTCTGTTATAAAGTAATATAGTCTAATATAACTAACAATGAAAATATTTCAAAAGTTTAAAGTTTGTAATTTTAAAATTGAAACTAAAATTAAAGAAATTGAATGAATTCTAACCTAAGTTTCTTTTTAAATAATACTACACGATGAATCCCAAAAAAGCAAATATAGTAAAATAAAATTAATATGAAATGCCATAAGATGAAGCTTTTGAATGACCCATGTCCTTTGTACTTACATGAGAAACATTATATCACTAGGTTTATATATATATAAAAAAAAAAAAAAAAAAAAAAAATCATATACAAACTTGAAAATACATAAAGTTTACTAATTCTGAGAAATGACTTAGATAGTTTTGTAGTCTGGGCTGCTTTTAAATAATATCTAAATTAAAAGTTTAAAATTGTAATTTACATATACTTTGATAGGAAAAAAATTTTTTTTACTTACTATGAGTAATTATCCTTCTGTTATAAAGTAATATAGTCTAAATTAAAACTAACAATGAAAAATATTTTTTAAATTTTAAAGTTATAATTTTAAAATTTTAAAATTGAAATTAAAATTGTAGTAAAATAAAATGAAAACATGTTTACATACATATGAAACTTTATTAATTAGGTTAATATTTGAAATAAATAAATTAATTAATTAATAAATAAATAAAGTTTACTAAATCTGAGAAATGACTTAGCTTTTTTTAGTTTAAAATAATATTTAAATTTAAAGAGAAGAAAAAGGAAAAAAAAAAAAAAAAAAAAAAAAAATTTTTTTTGATATGGAAAAATAATCTTACTTAATATGAACTTCTGTTATAAAAGTAATATAGTCTATTAAAACTAAACAATGAAAATATTTTAAAATTTTAAAGTTGTAATTTTGATTTGTAATTAAAATTGTAGTTAAATTGAATAATTCTAACCTAAATTTCTTTTTAAATAATACTACACGCATTAAAAAAGAATCCAAAAATAACACCTATAGTAAAATAAAATTAATATGAAATACCATAACATGTAAGCTTTTGAATGACCCATGTCCTCAGTAGTGAAATATTATAATAATAGGTTTATATAAAAAAAAAGTTTACTGAATCAGTGAAATTAAGAACCATTTCTGCATTTATACAAAAAAAAAAAAAAAAAAAAAAAAAATGTAAATAACATACTTAAACTTAATGTTAAAATAATCCTACATAATATAATGGATTCTAATACATTTAACTGTTCTTAAAAAAGAATATAGTAAAATAAAATAAAAAGGAAAAATATTTCAAATCGTAGTTAAATAAAAAAGTATTGTAAAAAAATCTTTAATTTTAAAAGATGACGTTGAAAATTTTTTACCGTTAACAATTTTTTTTTTTTTTTTTTTTTTTTTTAAAATTCAGACGACATCCATTCAACTGACGTCAGGTTTCAGTGTAAAATACATCCTCACCCCTTACCAAAATGTAGAACTGAAATATACTGTCAAAGGAAAATCTAAAAAAAGAATTTCAACCATGGAAACGTGATTTTAGCTGTGTATTTAAAACCGAAATTTTAAAAGTTACTTCGCTTGAAGATGAAATAAACTAATGCTTTTAATTTATTTGCAAAAATAAAATTAGGGGTTTTAGCTTCTATTTTTTGAAACATGGTTGGAACTGTGTAGCGAAAATAACCAATTTTAAATCAATTAATTTATAATATATATATATATATATATATATATAAAAACTAAGTAATCCTAAGGAGTTAAAAAAATCTGAAAATCCGTTTAGGTGAAACCTTTCTAAAGGTTTGCCTGGCTCCTTTGTAGGATTACTTTTAGGTTATCGCCTACTTAGTGTATTGAGCACTTTACGATTGTCTATTTACTCATTTTGTTTTTTTTTTTTTCTTTGGACTTGGAGCTAAACACTTGACAATTGTTTTCACCTTGTTTTAAATTTCTTGGTTCTTTTTTTTTTTTCCCATTTTTCCTCATTTTTGTTCTACTGCATTGAGCTATCAATTGTTCTTTTCCGAGGTTTTTCAAACGAGTACCACCATTTATATATTTCACTATTATTATTTATACATTGAAATTATTGGATAACAAAATGTGTATGCATTCATATTTTTTCTTATAAACCACATAAGGATTTTAACTTTTTCCAGACTGAATTCATTTGTAAATGTTACATAAAATCAAAGTTAAATTTTTGAGTAATCCACACAATTTAAATTTCTATAGATTTTTGCTCAGATGAAATGATAGGGATGTTTTTACTAAGGGATATCTGTTTTCCATGTGAACTGAATACAATAAAATACCTAAGGCTGCTCTATCTGAAAAATGAAAAGTTTTTGATTTAAATGATTTGCTAAAATATTTAACAGTTTAGATAATTATTAAATTGTTTTTTTTTTAGTTTAAATTCTAAAGATCATAATTCTATGATTGTTAAGTAATCAATACAAATTGTTTAAACATCTGAATCTTACATCTTGAAGAAAACAAGTTAAAAAAAAAAAAAAACAACAATGACTTCATTTTAGAAATAAGAATATCTATTCTGATAATATTTGAATTAATAAATTTGCTGAATTTTGTTATATGAGTGAGGTAAATTCCCAGTGCCAGAACTAAATATGCAATAACCAAAATAAATTTCATGAAGTGCATTTAGAAAGACTAGATAATAACCATAAAAAATACTGAATGGGATTTATATCTTTACAATTAATTGGTTTTTTATAACTTAAACCTTTATGGGCTATTTAAAGCCAAAACATATTTTGAATTATAATTTTTTTCTTTTTGAGACCCATTAACAATTTTTTGGAAACAATTTTTCTAAATACATGTCTGTTTAACCCAAATTTTACTTTACCCCAAAGGTTCACATAAGCTTATCCCCAAATGGAATTTAAACACTCAAATTTTTCATTCCACTATCCATTACACCACCCACACATGCCTACAGAATAGGAGCAAAAAGTTGAGTAAACAAGTCTATTATGGAAGCATTAACCTTTTCCAGATATTTTTTTTTTTTTTTCATTAGAGTTTACTTTTACAGGCATACAAGGTGATTAACAATATGAGGGAGAGCTGAAAAGTTCTGAAACCAACTAAGAAACCAAAAAAGTCTGATGTTTAGACATTTGATCAGATTTTGGGAAAATCCAAAAGGTCAAATAATCTACCAAATCCTAGACCCTACCTTAATTTAGCTTCCATTACTTTAGTGGAAGATTCAAGTTCCTCAGGTCTTTTGCATTTTGGCATTGTCTGTTGGTGTTGGAATGGATCTGTTTCTTCTTTCTTGAAAGACACTTGCATATTAACAATGTTCTTGCCATTCTGCATAGCTTTGACAAAACGGTTGCAATAGGTATTTCCATCACGAACATTTACCACATGGTAATCCACATTTCCTTGCTGACCTGGAAACAAACAAAAATATTGCAGAATGCAAGGAAAAAGGAAATTACTCTCATTGATATTTACAAAAATTAAAATCACAAGATTATATGGAGAGGCAATGAAATAGGGAAGAAAGATTGTTACACTAAACTTCCAAATCAAGAAATTGTGCACCAGCTGTGAAAATCTGAAAACATCAGGTTTGAACACACTCAATATTAAGTATTACAGTGATGATGAGAAGGTGACAAAAGAGTTCTCAGCCAGACCAAGAAAATAGACGTAACCAGTTTTGTAAGTGGTTGGGCCAAGATCTTTTCTGTGTCTTCTGTTATATCTCTACACAGCCCAAACCCCAATCAGAGATATTTTACACTTAGTGAATCATCTCTATTCTATCTCTCTGTAATATAGTTTATTCACTCACTCTCTTTCAATCTGTTATTGTAGTAATCGCTAACTATAAGAACAATCAGGTCAGACAGGCTGATGATCTACAACAGGTTCAAGCGAGATCTAAAAAATAGCTTCTCACACATGAAGAATTACATGATCAAGTATGAAACATTAAGTGGGAAAATAACAAAAGGAATTAGTTGGTACTAGAGTCTTAAGCAAGTAACATCTCTATTACTTGTTACCGTCAAGCAAAGGAAATCACAAATGAAGACAAGTTCCAATTCAACTCGACACACTATGCTGCATATATCAAATGCACAAGTGAATTACTAAGTGTAATAATCATTTAAGACATGCATGTGGGACCCACTCAATTGGATGCAGGTTATGACTTATACAGTGCCAAATCTTCCTACCTGAATGATGAATTCGGATTGCCAAAGGTAAAAAATGGAGTGTGTCGCTGCTGCCATTTTTTTTTTTTTTTCTTCGGTCGTCTCAAGGAAATGGATTCCGTGACTTCCTTTCTCAGCTGTTACACTGGGCAGTTGTGAAACAGACATCAACTCAGTCGCACCTACTTCGACTTCCTCTTTGTCCGCCTGTCAATCCATACGTCCATCTCTATTCCACGAGTTTGTCAATGACTCCCTGATACATGGTGCTACTGGCACCCCGCTTTTTATGCTATTCCAAGATGGCCAAAATTTGCATGTGTGCAAATATTGTCTTGTTTTGGACGAGATAGGCATGCATAAATTGTGTCTTCAATAGCAGCCATATTTCTTTTTGTCATCACTTTGCAGGCAAGACACGTTCATGCTCGTTTCAAATTCTGAGGTAAGTCATGTCTTTCATCAGATTATCAATCTATGGCATATACTAAAGAAGTCAAATTAGTTTAATCCCATAAACTGAAATAATCACAATGACCAAATTTAATTTTTAACAAAGCTTACAAGAACACTAAGTATAGTGTGATGGTTACTGCACAAGGCTTGCAAGCTATTGTTAAGGAGATTGTTACTAACTGGGTGCTTTATGAATTTGGCCTTGTACCGAATTTGTTTAAATTCAACTTTCCTGAAAAATACTTGCAACTCTAATATATATATATATATATATATATATATATATATATATATATATATATATATATACACACACACACTGTAGTGTCTAGTTTTATGCCCATGTGCAGTTTCTTGGGCTCACTTTCAGCCTTACTTCTCTCTGCTCCCTTGTGTTTCTGAAAACATATTCTGACAGGCATTCTTAGTTGCTGATTTTCCTCCCTCGGTCTATCTCAGAAGGATACATGATGCTGTGTAGTCAATGCAGAGCATCTCTTCAAAGTACATGTCTAAATTCTCCTTGGTTGGCTAGCTCTTTCTTTACGCAAGGTATTTTGACACTTTGCAGGGATAACCACTTTTGATCCTCATAAAACACAACTTAGTTGTACTGATAACTTCTCCTTCCTGTTTGTGTACAGCCCAAAATCCCAAGATTCATTATAATGGCCATCCCTGTGTGATCCACTTATGCGCCAAGATAATATGGGATCCTGGACGACACAAAGAAAGAGTTTTTGCCATGATAGGAGTTGAATCTAAAGCTGTCATAGAGAGTACCACTTCCTCCAGACATGGTAATGGTGTAAAATAGTCCTCCACTAGTAGTCGACTTAGTTCATCTGCATTGAGAGTCTTTGAACTGGGTTTGTATATAAGCTGATAGTGGTAGTTTCAGAGTACTAATGCCCAATGCTGTACTCTGGTACTTACTGTGTGTGATATCACTTGGTCCTCTTTTAAAAGCCCAAACAAGGGCTTATGATTGTAACCTCTTGGCCATAAATGTATTTATGGAATTTGCTCGCTCCAAAAATTATTGTTAGTCCTTCATGTTCTATTTACGATTGTAATGAACTAAAACATCAGTTGTCATTAATAAACATTTTGATTTGTTCAAATGCACATTTTTCAGCTATTCGCCATTTCCAAAGGGGCTCCTTTTCATAATAACTCACACAGTGGAGCTAGAAAAGTGGTGATATTATTTAAATACCACTGATAATAATTAACAAAAGCTAAATAACATATATATTTTTGGTGTTGGTCCTCTTGAATAGTATTAATCTTATCCAGAGTTGGGTGAATTCCTTTGGAATCAAACCTATGACCCAGATAAACTATTGACAACTTTCCAAACTCACATTTCTCACTTCTAAGGTGGATACTTGCATCATGTAGTCTTTTTAATGTTAAACAAAGATTTTGGTTATGTTCTTCCATAATTTTGCCAGAGATTAAAAATGTTGTCAATATAAGCAATAGTCATTTGTATACCTTGAATTAACTGTTCAATAGTGTGTTGAAAAATTCCTGAAGAAGCAATTCCAGAACACAATCTGGTGTACCTGAAAATACCTTCATGAATGTTTATAGTAGTTAGTTCATGTGACTCTTCCACCAAAGGAATCTGTAAATATGTGTCACTCAAATCCAATCTAGGAAAACAATGTCTGACAAAGACATCAGTATACAAGTAGTGTTACGAACCACAATCTAAATTTGTTGTGGAAAAATATACCATTGCTTGTATTTTAGAAGCATTCTAAAATGAAGAGCACAGTACTTGCAGAAAATGTAAAGATAGTGGGCCTAAAGAGATAGGTAGACTTCGTGGCAGCAATGATTGACCAGAGTGTACCCTTTCCTTCTCTTTTGGTCAAGGTGTTGACAGCATGATCTACACGGATAGGTTCCTGCTGGGAGAAGTTGAAACACTTTAAACTAAACTAGGTCTGCCCCATTTAACGCTAAAAAAAGTGGTATACCCTGGAGAAAAAAGTTCCCCAAATTGATTAAAAAATTTTTAACGTGTAAATGTTTATGTTTGTATTAAAGAGGGAAGACCAAAGTATTTTCTGAATATTTTTTCAGATTTTTTAATCCTTCCTATAAATGTTAAAAATTTTATTTAAAAATCTTGTTTTTCTCGAATCAAAAGAAATTTCGTAAATTCGATCTTAACGGGCACTTCTGCCCAAATTTGTAAACAAAAATCAAAATTAGTTCAAAAATCATGTAAAATTCAGTTACACCTTTTTCTTTTGTTATCTTAGGAAATTTAGAATGATTAAAGTATACTTAATGCAATTTGAAAGAAACATTACTGACTTTTTTAGCAGAAATTTTTTTAATAGAGATATTTCCAACCGTGGTGCTTGCCTAGCGTGCGTGACTGAGAGGTGTTAATTGATGTTTGTCAATATATTGACAACTTACGTCAAGGGAATTTATCGTACGGTAGCGCAGAAGTGATGTAATTCGTTCTAATTTTAAATGAACCTGGTTAGTAAATTTAAAAAAAAAATTAACTTTCAAATTTTTTTAACCTTATGTTTGAGGAAAAATTTCTGAAGTAAAAAGAACTTGCTTCTCTCAAGAGAAACAAGTCTACCTCATGTGACATTATTTCAAAGCTGTGCATCCATACTTTCATTGGAGACAATTTTGGAATATTAAAAAATTATTTTAAAAATATCAACGGTTGTCAGATTTTAATAAGCTTTCAAATTTATGATCTTTAAAAAGTAGAGAACATAATATGTCATTTCCATAAGGTTGTATAAAGAAACTTAATTTTAAAATATATAACAACATTTTGTCATAGTATTTAAAATGAAAAAAATTATTGTAAAAGTTCATTTTTCATCAAAAGTTTTTTTTTTTCAGATAAGAATTATCTTAGTATATGTTATTCAGAAAAGTCATAAAAAGTTTTTCAAATTAAATATTGTCTTAGTTTTATTGGGTTTTGTATTTTTTACAATTGAGGTAAAAGTTTGACAATTTTGCACATTTTTTTACCAAAAAAAAAAAAAAAAAAATCGATTTTTAGAATCTTCAGAGTCTCGTGCATTTGATTGAAAAATAAATTCAGGTTTTGAAAATAAATTTTTGAAGTTTTCATAAAATTAAGTTCGAGGGGTGTAACAGATATAAAAAAAAATATTTATACCATGACTTTCAAAAAGACAAACATTTCTAAAATAATTTCATTCATTTGTAAATAAGTTCTGAAAGTTTCATTAAAATCCAACAAGTACTTGATTTTTGCAAGATTTTCCAAATCAATGTGTTTTTTCAACTGAAAAAAAAAACAACTGAAAGGGACATACCTAAAAACTTTCTCTGACACTGAAGATGGGAGAGAGGGTCGATGACCTCATTCCACCCATAATAGGAAAAGGTTAGTATTTTGAAAATTGACCAAGTGACAAGAAGAAAATGGAAACGAATAGTGAAACAAAAAAGTTAGTCTTTGTCCAGGCCTGAGGGCTGGACGGACGTCTGATAAATGTTTCAGAATATGGACCTAAAAGATGTGTTTGCAAAATTGTGAGGAGAATTGGTCTCCCAGTCGAATGGATGAACCCATTTTGACGTTATGTACGCTGAACGCCGCTATATTAAAGAGAGAAAAGCAGTTTTAACTGTCACCAAGCCCTTAAACAAAGCACGAGAGGGAAAAGA